AAATATAATGTTCACAAAAAAATAACAACGTTTCTTTTATAATTGGTAGAGGCTGGGCCACTCAATATATTCCACGTCAAACACGCAACTAATGTGTCAAGCTACCCGTTTAGGAGTTGGTAAAGACCATTCAACAAAAGAGAAAATATGTAATTACGTGCTAAACGTAGTTAGCTAATTACAATAATAACACGTAATGACAAGAAAATATTTTAGCTCGATAATATCGAGCCTTTTTTATAAATATTTTAACAGAATATACTATGAGCCCATAGAAAACAGAAGAACACATTCCAGTTGTTAAACTAAAATATATATATGCATATATATTATTTATTCATAAGATTTACAACTGTATAAATTTAAAAATACATCCCGTAAATGTGCACACAGTAATAATACAATCACATGAAAACGCTTATAATAATAGGAGGCCATCTTCTTTCCAGACGCTTTGGAGGGTTGTCAGGTATCGAAGAGGCAGCAAGGTATGAAACGAGAGAGTTCGGATGGTTTTGAAGTTTCTTATGGAAGGATAAATATTTGGATTGGGCTATATTGGAAACATATGGTACGTTAAGGTCGTTATGAATGATTTTATTGGTGACAAAGTAAGGAGCATTGAGGATTTTAAGAAGGATTTTGGATTGTAAGGATTGGATACGAGGGGAATTTGATGATTTAGTGGAGCCCTAAAGCTCGATTCCGTAAGTCCAAATTGGCCTTATTATAGTCATGTATACGACTGTATGTCTTTTGTAATACATAGAAATTTTAGAGCGTTTGTCTAGTAAATGCCGAAGTAGTCGAAAACGTAGAGCAGTTTCCTGTCGTTTCAGTCTGGTATGAGGATTCCAAGTGAGTCGTTTGTCCAGGTGGAGTCCTAGGTATCGGATTTGTTCAACAGGGATAAGTGGGGAATTGTTAAATAGTACTGTAGAGAAGGTCATAGGTATCCGTCGAAGAGTGAAGGTAATTTGCTGGGATTTACTGGAATTTATGTTAATTCTTCAATTTTGACACCATTCTTCAAGGTTTGTGATATGCGATTGAAGAGTTTGGGATGCAATTGATGGATCGTTATAGCTGATAGGATACATGTGTCATCAGCATATGTGGTGATGACAGTGTTGGGATGCCAGCTGTATAAACTGTGTAAAGGATAGGACCTAGGTAAACTAAAACATAAGATTCAAAATTTAACTGAATTAGCATATGAGTGACGGATAGTCAGGACACTTTAATTTTTTTGAGATCCTAATTACCAAATTTTTAACCCAAGCTTGTGGGCCATCAGTAACGAAAAATTTATAACATCAGAGACATAACATTATAAAACCGTTAATAGTTAATAATGATAAATGGTAATGTATGAGTAATAATAATAAAATAATAGCTAAGGTAAAATGAAATGTATACATGAGTCGGACAAATGGACTACGCAATATGCTATTTCTTTGAAATTTTACGTATAAAAACTTAAATACAAATTCTATTCTATTTCACTTGTATTCGTCTAACAGGTCTACTTCTAGCATTACCCAGAAAAATTTTAAATCCATGAAACATCCATCAATATTGAAAAAATTGTAAATTTAGAGAATAGTTTTGTTACACCAGTAGCACTGTTCGATCTGGAATGTTCCTTTAGATGACAGTGATGAGAACAAATATGCAATTATGCGAAATAAATTATATATTCTTTATTTTAAAATAGATATAAATACAAAATATCTTTAACTTATTATAAAACCAACTTCATTTCGTTTCTCGACTTAATTTATCTACAAATGGTGGTCTCACTGTCATGAACCTGTTTTTGAATTTTTGGTTTTTGAACCTATTTCCTAGTTTTACTTGTTGTGATCAAATTTTGTGAAATTACATTGATTCAATTTTATTTATTATTTTCCAAGATATAATGGGATATATCGTAGGTTTATTACTAAAAGTCATTAAGTAACATTTTAATGAATTTTGAGATAATCGAATTTGATGTTTCTGATTCATTAAAAGAAATAATAAAATAGCGATTTGATTATTTATTTTATTTTCTTTGAAATTCCTAAATATGTATTCCATTTTTGACAATTAATTAAAATACTTAACAGATACAGAACAATGAAAACAAATGAAACCACGATTAATGACTTTTTGGGCACTATCATAGTTAAACATAATACTACTTTTATAATCTTGCAAGTACAAAGAACGGGAGTTAGACTTAGCCCACTTAGTTTTATTAACTATCAGATCAATTAATCAAGTGAAAGAAGTCATTAAGTACCAGATAGTGACATTTTGGCGAACTATTTTAACATTATTTAGAAGACAAGAGGTCATTAAGTACCAGTAAGTGACTTTATGCTCGGTAAAGTCAGAACATCGCGTACTTAGTGAAACTATTTTATACGTATAAAATGATTTGTATTATTTGTATGCATTTAATTAGTTATTGTATTAATAAATATGATCAAAATTAACAACTGCGTGCCTTCAGGTAAAAATAGACCAAAATTGTACTTATTTTTTTGCAATAAACTGACGATATATTAAATTTCAGATTAGTTTTAGTGTTAATAAAAAAAAAAAAAAAAAAAAAAAAGGAAGATGAAAACGTATCAGACCATTGCAGGCTAGAATGAGATATAACCACGGACAATGAAATATGACTTACTCATACTTCTTGGAAGATTCCACAGAATGACATCATGGAAAAGGAATGGTGCTGAAGGACGAGTTTGGCCTAATGGACATCATTTGGAAAGGCTATCTTAGGGTGGCAACGTAATAATAGGGTTAACTTGGGGGCGTATGTGTGCTCTACCAGTAAATAAAACAATAAGAAAGAAAAATATAGAATGTAAAGATGAAAAAAAAAAGGAAGTGTTTATTTTTTTGTAGGAAAAAAATAAGTAGGTATGGCTAAAACTATTAAAAGAGAACAAACAACGGAGGGAGAAATATAAATTTCTTTCTAATAAAAAATATTTACCAAAAAGAAAGGTAATTAAAGATTATATTAGAATAGAAAATAATTTTAATATGGGATAAAGTCCCTTTAGAATAACAAAAAAGTACAAAATTAAAATATTATATCTGGCCTAAATAAAAACTAACACAAAAAGTAAAAAGAATGAGCAATAGGCAAAGAAAACATTAGTTAAACATACTATATACAAAATAAAAAAAATAAAAAATATATATATATACACAACACTTGAAACTATGCCGAGAAACTTAAAACTATGTACAGTGGAAAACATAAATATACACTTTTAGGAAAAAATAAAAAATACATTACATTCTTGTTAGCAATAAACTCTGTGTTTCTGTAGGAAAACAAAGAAAAAAGAAAGTCGAATCTGATAGTAAGAATTGTCTGAGTATGTAAATATATCATTATGAATAATATTTAATTTTACACAAAAGCTTAGCGGGTATCTGACTATTTTAGGGTCAGAAATTAGAATAGGAGGGTTTTAAATGTAGATAGGGAAGTGGAATGCCGAATTTTGATAGGAAGGGAATTCCAGAAATTAACAGAGTTAGTTATAAAAAAAAAAAAATATTGAATTATTACAAGACAGAAGTATTTGAATTAAAGAAAGTTTTGGAATTTGGCAAAGAAAATACATACTTACAATAAAGCAAATACATAGAAAATAAATAAATATACAAATATATTTTGACAATGCTTAGAGACCCTTATTTATTTCAACAATTTTTTTTAACAAAAATGGCCAACAATTAGAATATCAGAGAAATATTGTCTATTTATCCTTTTATCGTAGGGGATATATATATAAGAACAATAAAGTCGCCAAAAGTTTTTTCTGGCTTTAAAGATCTTGTCTAGAGTGTGAATGTGATCTCTGAGCACTATTATAAATGCCCTTGAGACAGATTGTAATATTTTTCAATAGATAAGTTTAAAAGAAAAAAAAAAATCTTGTAGATATTTTGCCACCTTAAATAGCCATTTCCACCTCTGCTTATTTTGGCCTATAGGTTTCCAGGTACCTGCATGGAGTTCTACAAGCTAAATGTCCCGCCCATCTTAACCTCCTTGCATCAATATCATGAGGTATTAATCGACCAATTTCTTTAAACAGTTCTTTATTGGTCCTATTTGTTATGACTCTGATCCCGGATAGCTTGACTTAGGAGATAAAATTATTATATACGTAGTAATTACAAAACCAATCAATACATTCGAGAGTCTCAATAGGGTTATTAATTTTAAGACATAATGGTTAATAATAATAAAAAAAAAATAGTGATTGGTGATACATGAAATATGTTAAAAGTTATACAAACTAAAAATTATGTATACAACCTACTTATGAAATATATGAAATATTACTCTTAATTGCCGTGTTTCAAGCACTGAAGGTATTCAAGTACTGACGATTTGGTAGGTAAGTAAAATATTCGGGAGAATTTTCTAGATGTGTTTTTAAGATAGCAAAGGGTAGTTAAACATAGTCAGAGGGGGGGGGGGGGAGGATAAAATTTATGTTATTTCTTATAGTTACGAAATTGTGGTTACTGGCTTGTAATGAAATAAAAATAAATAAGAGATGACAGTCAGTACAAATATAAAATAGTTTGATTGAAGGTATGCAGTAGCTAACCAAATAAGGTTTACAATAATATTTTTTTATTATTGACTAATATCTGTTTTATAATATTATATCTCTGATTGTATTAAACAATTTTTCAGCCCTGATGACCCACGTGTATGGGTTGAAACGTTGGCACCAATAGAAACTTTAGAAAATGACTGCATCCTGAATATTTACCATCCATTTGGCTTGTTATAAATTATTTTTTAATACTTTCATTGATTTTATAAATGGACTAGTGTCTTATAAAAACATGTAAATAAACCTAAAATTCTGTTACATGCAATACAGAGTCGAATTTTATCGGAATAATCACACTATTCCGTTAATTGTGACGTGATGGGTTAATTATCCAAACGAATTATGAGATAACTAATAATGCAGCCAAGATACGGAGCACAATGGAACCATATGAAGGCTTGGCTGTGCTGAGGGACCGGCCGGGGTGAACGCCTTCAGCGCATACCATCCAAGGCCGCTTGGCCTGCAAGCAGCCAGCTGTTGTTCACCGCTTGCACAATCACTGCCTCCGTCATAACCTCTTTATTTCCAAGCAGTATCGAAATTTAAACAAATATTATTCATATTTAATTTTAATTTTAATTTCATATTAAATTTTAATTCCTGTTTCCTTGAGAATTATTACCAAACTAAACTAGTACATACCAGTGAAAACTCTCACATTAGCTATCCCTTTCGCAAAGGTTTATTCACATATACAATATATTAATGAAGAGAAGGATAGTTGAGGTGATCAGTCAAAAAAAAAAAAAATATATTTATTTTAACATTTGCCGATGTTTCGACCCGAAGTTCAGGCCTCTGTAACCGTTTTTATTATTCAATTCTTAGTTCTTGTTATTGTCATTATTCTATCTACTTTAATATTCACTTATCTACTTCATTTTACTCTATTTTTTTTTTACCTACATTGTTTATGTTTCTCATACCAATTCTTATGTGGTTCATTTCTCAGTCCTGATGAAGGCCTGAACTTCGGATCGAAATGTCGGCAAATGCTGAAATAAATATCATCATTTATTTTTGCCATTTTTATTCTTGACTGATCGCCCCAACTATCCTCTTCTCTTCATTATTCACTACATTCAACCATCAACCCACAATTACAATATATTAGGTCATTATGCGGACCCTACACGATAATTCTTGAATGACTGACAAGGATTCCTTTGATCACGATGACCCTTACACGTATCAATTATACTGACCATTTTAACTGAGTTGACATTAAGATAACAGGCAGTTCGGATCTGGTGAATTGGTTATTTATAATATTTTTTTCAATTAAAAAGGCTTGTTATTTGGCCATTATCCTTAATAGCATTAGACATCAAGAGAAAATCGGAGATATAATAATTACTTCCTAGTGCCTGAAAATCATTATGACTGAACTTACAAAAGATATAATAAGTCTACTAAATAAAAAAATTAAGGAAAAGTATTGCGAAAATAATAAATGTGTTGAGAAAAAATGGGAAAGAACTGAAAAATATTCACAACAGTTAAAGATTTTTGATTTTCTATTTAGTAAATTGAGAAGTTTCCACTTTTTTTTTTTAATTTATTGCCCACTTGACTATCTTAAAAAAAATAGTTGAAGATAGTTTATAAAAATAAAAATATACGAATATGAAAAACTATTTACTTTTAATGAAAATCAGGAATTTACAATGGTTGTGAGGCCTAAGTAAACTAACCTATCTAGTAGTAAGGTTAGTCTCCCCACCACTTTTTCCTCAGTCTCCCCTCCACTTCTCGTGATTGAACCTTTGATTTCAGGATTTTCGGAAATATGCCGTCCATCAGTACTTCAATAGTGCCTCGGAATGCAATTCTGAACGAACGTGTAGAGTCCGCATTACATATGAAATGTCCGTTTTTTTATTATTTCAGAAATCCAAAGTGGGATTAGACTCGTGTTGTTACCGATTATAATGTAACGCCATTGATCCTCTCTTTTATGATAATATTTACTATAAATTCAACTGATAATGTGCAACCAATTTAGTATTCCATCAAATATGAGGAAGCGTGATACATCGTTACGACGAACGGACCATTCGCCAATGGTTTGAAAAAGATTTTCTGTGTGGTGGTCAATGGCAGGAATAATTCATTTCTCCTTCCTATTCACAGAGGTGAAACCATCACGTACTGCAGTGTTATTGACATAATGCATCAAAAACTATAGTGTAAATAGTGATACTATAACAGAAAAACTAATTATTATAGAAAAGCTTGTGTCAAATGCGTTTTATTACGGATTGTTATCGTGCCTTGAATTTGAAACGATATGACGGGAGAAAATATACGAGCCTCTTCACAAGTTGCGCAAGTAGCTGGACAGATGGTCAAAAAAGTACTGACTGAGTTACTGAGATTGGACGGATCCCATTCGCCAGAGGAGTAGGAAGACTTCAACTACAATGGATGGTGCGGCCACCGACGCGAGATCCATCTTGGGAATTCGTAATTGGAGGGTAGCCGCAGCGGGGAAGACTAGCGGACCCAACTCTTCACGAGTTGTTGCGCCGAGGAAGAAGAATTTAACGATCCTTCGTATTCTTTGGCGCAACAACTGAACTTTGTTTAGTTGTCAATGATATCCTTATGATGAGCAAATATAAATTTTAACAATTAAAATCTGTAAAAAAAAATCATAACTTTTAATATATGATATTATTGTAAGATACCGAAACAATGCCTCAAGTCTCACAGATTCCAAAAAACTAACCAAGATAAAATAACTAACATAAAAACTAACCAAGATAAAATTGAATTTTTATTTATTTTACTTCTATTAAATGTTGCATACTAGCATTGCAATTATTCAAATATTCAAACTGACTATAGTTCATGTAAATATATTGATATGAAGATATAATTATTATGCACGTAATAATCACAAGACGACTTAACAGATTAAATTTACGTATCAGTTACATAAAATACATATTCGAATTTTATAGGAATAATCACACAATTGCGTTAATTGTGACATGATGGATTAATTATCCAATCGAATTATGAGATAAATAATAATGTAGCCAAGATACAAGGCTACTAGAAGTTTATCAATTTATGTTAAACTTTCTAGAAGTTTATTGGTTCGGTTTTAAGGCGTAAAACTATAGAATCATCAATGCATGTGACTGGGAGTCATGGATATACTTTGTACGAGACTCGGACATTACACCCAAGGCACTTCACAATATTATAATTAATCAATATTAAAACTTTTATCTAGAGCATTTCCTATCAGGGCGTGGTTCGAGCACTGAAGGTACTCAAGTACTCTGTACTCTGTAGGTGAGATCTCATGAACCACATGTTTGGGCTGAAACGTCGGCACTAATAAAAAATTTATAATGACTGTGCCCTGAATATTTATCACCCACGTTATTTATATAGGCTTAACTTCATTCAATAAAACTTTACATTATATAAAAGATCTGTTAAATCAATTGATTTAGTTAAAAAGTAAACTTTTCCGCTTATTATTTTATAAAGAAGAGTTTCCAATGATCCAGTTTTTTTTTTAGTTTTTTTTTTATGGAACGTATCACTCCCCTTATTATATAAGTTATTCATTTTCTTTTTGTCTAAGTCTAAATAAACTAAAACCATAAATACACAAGATAGAAATAATTGTAAAAATGTTAAAAGCATAAATACAACAGCTTTGGTATAACCATATAATAGATAACCATTTTATAATGTAATAGATAACAAGCGATCGGGTCAAATTTCCGATATGCCGTTTTCGACGGATCTATACGTTTTAGAGCCTGAGTTTTTTAAAAAGGTAATGAAATTCCCTACAAAACTATAAAAAAGATCGTTTATTTCAGACAACAATTAACGAAGTTACAACTATTCAATTTCTAATGTAAGATTACGGGTACATATCCTGATGTCAGAAAGGGATTAATGAGAGAAAAAAAGATAACATAGTGAAAGTAAGAAACTCTGTTGCCTTTATCGCACAGGCTTTACCATTAACTCTACTTTTAACAGAAATTATTGTTTAAAAAATTAAGTTTTTGATCAGCAATATTAGAGGGTATTGAAATTTTTATACTGATCACCTTAAGCCGGTTTATACTGCTTTATTTTATCAAATAAATCTAATTCAATTTTTTTTTTTTTTTGTTTCTTGATGGACATATGTAAAGATATAAAAACGTTTCTGAAATAGGTAGGAAAGTCGTGTGAGTGAACTCACCAGAATTTTTATTTTTAAAACAAAAAATTTAGATACAGTAAAACATTTAAAAAATATAAAAATAGTAGATACTATATGTATATGACTAAAAATATAGAAAAACAAATTAACTTATAATCTAAATAGCTCCTATGCACATATCATCAATTTTTTTTTCAATATATAAAAACAGAAAAACATAAATAGGGACAATAAAAAAAGAATAGCTCTTAATTAAGTTAACTGAAATAGCTAAATAAGATTCGTAAAAAGTTTGTTTGTTTATTTAGGCTTTAAGGCGTACAACCCAATAAAAAATGTCATCAACGCCTGTGAGTCGGTTGTATTTGTAAATTCTTTAGAGGAGAAATAAAAAAAAGAATGAATAAAAAAATTAATTATAGATAGATAGAGTAATAAATGAAAAAGATATTTAAAAATGAAATATATTAAAATAAATATAAAAAAAGAAAGAACAATAAAATAAAAATTATATTTATTTTTATATTTTATTTAATAGCCTATGTATTTTAAGAAATTTTATCACTGTTTTTATGTTTCATTAGTTGTTTGTTTAATACTGCTGATATATCCCGTTTTAGAGATAATCGATATAGGCTTGAAGCATAATAAGTGTATAATTGGAAAATATGATTGATTGTGAGAGGGCTATTGCAGTGTTGACAATTTGGCGTTGGTTCGTAAAAAATTCAATCCCAGATAACAAGAAGAAATGTGAGGGAGATATGATAGCCCTAGCTAGTAGCTTAGTAATTTATTATCATTTTCTGTACTGAAATTTCAAATATTTAACAAAAATTATAGCAAAATTAAATGGAATATCCAAACATTGACGTTGAATCTAGGCAAAGTGGACTGGGCAGTTGCTATATAGGGGAGTGGGCGTGGTGGGAGAATGTCATTTTCTAAACTGATCCTCTGCGTTCTGTGGCGGAATTTAGTTTTGCATGCATTTGTCAGCCGCTGGATTATGCTCAACTAATGGCTTTAATTAACAATTCATCCTAACAATGAATGCGTAAATCCTAATTAAAACAATATGTAGCAATAATTCAGTGAATAATTCATCCAAGCGTCATAATTATAACCGAATATTAAACGAGACTAAGTCAAAAAGTAAAAGGAAATTTAAAAATCTATATATTTATTGTACTTGCGAGTAAATGATTCATTACTTTTCAACATAATCCCCTGTAACTTCTATTCACTTAGTCCATCTCCTACCGAGTATTTGAATTCTTTCCTGGAAGAAGGTTTTCCACCTTCTTTCCTGGAAGAAGGTTTTCCACCTGGTTAGTGTTGCCCAAAATCGGTCTTGCACTTTGCAAGACCACCTAACTGTTGCAAGACCAAGATCAAGGCTGGTAAAAAAAAATCAAGTTTTTGAATCTGAATAACATTAAATCTAAGACTAAAATTGTTACATACACTGTAAAGACGACATTCCAAATTAAAAGCAAGACAGAAACTAAGTATTTACACGTATCTTTTGAAACCTCTTTGGACTTACGGACTACAAATATACGGAATTGCAAAACCAACTCACATAAAAAAACTTTAAACTTTTCAGTCTAAGATACTACGACTAATTACTCAAGCACCATGGTACATAAACAATCACACTTTACACACCGACCTTCCGTTCCGACAGTCAATGAACACATACGAACGTAATACAAACGATTTCATAACGTGCTAAACGGGCATTCCAACCAGCTAGTAAAAGAAATGGCCACAACTAGTATGCCCGAGAACTCCAGAAGACGACTGAAAAGGGTCTGGATGAGGGATCTGCTTAAATAATGTTAGTAAATAAAAGCCATGGAAGGGATACCGCTGGGTATTGCTATTCCTCATGCCTATCAAGTCTTTTTATTTACTCATATTATTTATATATTTTATTTTATTTTTTCTATCATTACTAAGCCAGCACATCAGCTGACTGTCAATAATAATTGACAGGTGCGGATAATATATGTAAGTGCAAAAAAAAAAAAAAAAAGTTTTTGAATCTACATTAAGGCAAAATAATACATGACAATTTTAGTTAATATATGTCTAGAATTGGTATAGCCAATATACTTTTGCATTTAACTCTTCTAATTTTTCATTCTGGCTTAGTTAGGTTTCTTCTATCTAAAAATTACAGTAATATCTCTATAGGTAACTGCAAGACTGTTACGAGTCTCTTGCGCAAGACCAAGACCAAGACCAAGACTGAGTTCGCGACTCGTCTTGGTCTCGCATTTGGGCAACACTGCACCTGGTGTTCAGAAAATTGTTCACTGCTTCAATAGTCTCTTCTCGGTAGATCGATAATGATTCCCCCGCAACTCCTATTTTAATGGTCCAAAGAAGATAACAATGGCTTGGCACAAAGTCTCGACGGGTGGTCCAGCAGCTGAAAACCGAGATTTAAACTGTTTTTGGTCGTATGAGGTTGAGCATTATTCTGAAGCAAAAACACATCTTTTTGAAAGTTTAAAGAATCATTTGTTTAACTGTCAATCATTATTGTCACTGAAGAGAAGAATAGTTGGGGTGGTCAGTCAAAAAGGAAGGCAAAAATAAATGATAATATTTATTTTTACATATGCCGACGTTTCGACCTGTTCGAGAAGTTCAGGCCTTCATCAGGGCTAAGAAAATAAACAGATAACAAGGTATGAGAAACATAAGTAGAGATGGTAAAAAAAAAAAAAAAAAAAAAAAATTAAAATTAAAATTAAAAAAATAAATATAAAGTAAAATGAAATTGTTAGAATAATGAAGGCCTGAACTTCAGGTCGAAACGTCGGCATATGTAAAAATAAATATTATCATTTATTTTTGCCTTCCTTTTTGACTGATCACCCCAACCATTCTTCTCTTCATTACCCACGACAGTCAACCAATTACCAATTATCATTATTGTCACTAGTCTTTGAAGTGTAAGACCAACTGCGCCGCTATTCATAACACAAAGAATTCCATACGCAGATATTGCTTCCACAACACTCTCCATATCGCTGCTGCATTAAAAGAATCTGCTGGTTTCACACCTTCCGAAATCAGAAAACGTACCACTGCTCGCATTTCTTCTTTGGTGCAATCATACAAGGGAGAACATGAACTAGCTTTTAAAAACAATTACAAGTAGCAATGAAACAATACTTTCAATGAACAGCTGATAAACATCATAAGTCATAACAGAACAATCATTGCTGACATACAGCTGATTCGTAGAGAAATCC